TCTTGAGGGCGGGCGGGCGTCCGCCGCCGCCGGCCCCGCTCCTCCGGGCGCCCCGGTGCTGCCGCCTGCCCCGGGGGCCGCCGGAGAGGGGGGGAAACGGGCACCGCGTGAGGGACGCGCCCGTTCCCGTGTGCGGTGTGCTCGTCCCCGGTGTGAGGGCTGTGCCTGTCCCCGGTGTGAGGGCTGTGTCCCCTCGTGTGAGCGTTGGGTCCCCTGGAGGGATGTGCCCGTCCCCGTGTGAGGGCTGCGTCCCCTCATGCGAGGGACGTGCCCGTCCCACGTAAGGGACGTGTCAGCCGCGCCAGGCGCTGCGTGGGGTTGGCACCGCCACATGCGGCACACCTGCCCTGGTGTGCCCACCCTCACGCGGGACGTGCCGGCCGCTGCGCAGAGCGCGCCCACCCAGCCAGGCAGGGCACGCCAGCTCGCGTCGGAGGGGCAGCGGGCAAGCTGCCTGCTGGCACAACCCGCCTCATGACCCTCCTCCATGGCCGCCCCTCCAGGCACGCAGAGCCCAGCGGTGCCAGCTCTGGTGATGGCTGCCGGTGGTACGGCCCGGCTCCCCTCGCCCTGGCACACCACGGCGCAGGCTGGTGCTTGGCCGCCGGGATGCGATGCGGGGCTGCGTTCCAGCCAGCCCCTAGTCCTGCCCAGTGCCACGGGGACACGCGTCCGTGCCTCAGGCGGGGGTCCCGCGGCCTCTGGACGCCAGTCCTCAGCGCACACCTCCGCTTACGCCCACCGACAGCCCTGCTGCGGCACCACCGGTGCGCCAGGTGGCAAGCAGCCACCCTTGTGCCATGGCTAGCGTCCCCAGCGCCAGGCTGCTTCCCCAGGGCTCCAACGAGAGGCCGCGGGGCTAGCTGCCCTGCTGCTAGCAGAACGGGCGAGGCAGGAGAGCACCGGCGTTTGGCAAGAGGTGCTGCCAACGCTTTGCAGCCCTAACCACTCCCTCTGCCCGCTTGCGTCCATCTGCAAGCGGCACCAAGTTCGGCGTCTTCAGGGATGGTTTTTTTACCATGTGCATGAGAAAGGGCTTCCCCTTGCCCCGTGCCACAGGGCGGTAGCTCTCCCAGGCAGTGCCCAGGCACCCGCGGCAGCACCGCAGCCCCTGCCGCTCGCCTCCACCACCCACGGGCACCCGAGTGCGCGGCAGGGATTTTGCTGGCCCGCTCCTGTGCCCCGATGCAGACCTCAGCCGCCCCCACCCACCGGCTGAGGCATCACCACTGGGGAGAAAGTTGCAGGTTTTTCTTCCAGCACCCATGAAAAAACCCTGTTTTTCCAAGGAAAATTCAGTTTGGGGCCCCTGCATCGGGATGGTTCATTAGTGCATCAGCCTTGCAACTTAGCTGTTGGTTTGATCTCAATCAACTAATATCGCAGCCTAATCCACTGAAGCTTGTAATAGGCTTAGGAATAACAGGGGCTTACGTCCTCATTAGCGTTCAGTGCGCCACGGCGGGGGAAACATCCTCACCCACGTCCTGTAGCAGAAGCGGGGAGCCCGAGGCGCAGCGGCTGGGGCACGTGCTGGGGAAGAAAGAGCTGTGTCGGGGAGGAAAATAGAGTAAATTTGGGAGATGGGGGAATTTAGGATGGGGTAGGGAAGGGCAGGGAGTACACAGGACATCCTGGCTCCAAGGGAGCTGCAAGAGCCCCCGTGCCACTGTGCTGGAGGGGCTGCGGTTCAGGGTGGGTAGGCTGGGGAGCAGGGGGACCCCCGTGCCAACACTGCAGCCAGGCTGGGCACCGCCGGCAGCCCTTGTGCACCCCTACGTAGCTCCTGAAAAGACGCACGAGTTAACAGTGGGGTGGATTCACACCGGAGACGGCGCTCCTCCGCTCGCTCAGCCCTCGCTCGCAGCACTGCCGGAGCCGCGCGCGCTTCAACGCTCCCGGGGAGCTGAACACGCTCCCACCCCGCGGGAAACCTAACGAGGCTGTGCAAGGTCCCGTGGTCCTGGGGCAGAGATTTGAGCGGCTGCTCTGGAGCCGCGCGCTGCTTCAGACAGCGCAGGCCGCCTGCGCAGCAAGGGGGAGGTCGGAGGAGACGCGTTGACCCCCAGGCACGGCAGGGCTGGGGGCCTTGAGGGGGGCCAGCCGCCACTGCCGCGGGGGGGGCCTCTGCACCCCCTGGCTGCGGACGGGCCGCGGCATCCCACGTGCTGCTGCCGCAGCGCTGAGTCCTGGCATCACCAGCGCTTTGCCTCTGCCCGATGCTCTGCGTTCCTGCGCTCCCCCGCCAACCATGACCGCCACCGGCTCTCACCCGGCTTCGGTTCCACCGATGGTGACAGATGGTCCCCTATCAATTATTGTTAGTGTAAACGAGCGGGTGGGGAGAGCGCATGCTGCCCGCTGATTCGGGGGTTGACTGCAAGAAAGCTCCCACTCCCGTGGAAGCTAGGCAAACACGGAGGCCAAGTGCGCAAATGCACCCGACGGGACCCCAAACCACCTCGCGCCATCCTCGCGGCCGGTGCCTCCCTTCCACCACCGTCACCCCCCGGGAGCTGAGGCCTGGTCACCACCTGGGCAGCTGAGCACACGCCTCAGGACCACCGTGGGAAACACCAAGCGGGCCCTAAAGCGCAGCTCGGCACATGCCGGAGAGAAGTTCCCATGGCGCTTACGCAACGCTGAGGGCTGACACCCGCTGGGTGTGGATTTCTAAGCCTCGGGAGAAGCTGGCATGTTCATTTATAAACTCCGTAGGATTCCTGAACATCGATAATCTGCTGTGATTAACTACTCAGCCACTACAAAACGGCGCTGGCTTTGCCGGGGCCGCACCGGGCACGAGTGGGGCGGTGAGCTTGGCCGGGCCCGGCCCCGGCCTGGAGGGGGCGGTGCCCGCGCCAGCCGTGCCCCGCGGGGATTTGCGTGCACCCACCCGAGCCCTGCTGGCACCGCCAGGCTGACGCCGACGGGCAGAGCGGCCCCGCGCACAGCTCACCCAAGAAACCTCATCTAATAAAGGGCAGAGCAGCACCCGCCTGGGACAGGAACGCGCCGGCTTCATTGTACATCGCACCTCCTCAAACGGGGGATTTGCCATCAAGAAACCCAATCAGGAGAGAGGCGATGCTTTTAAAAAATTATGAAGGCTTTCAAGTTCATTTGTTCTAATTACCCAGCTGACAGCTCAGAGGAGAAGGAGAAAATCATCGGGGTATTACTGCCACAAAATAGTTGTAATTGAATCATTCCAGACAATAAAGCCGAGGCGCGGGACACGGGCAGCGCATCGCTCCCCCCGCGCCAGCCCCCCAACACCCCTCACTGCCGCACCGCAATAAAAACACAGCGATACAGGGAGATACCGCTCTAATAGCGGCCCGTTACAGCTAACGGCAACGCAAGTGCGTTATCTGTGCCTGTCACCCGCGCGCAGAGCAGGAACCGCTGATAACGAGCTCACAGGCTGCGGTTTGATCCCCTGCCATGTGCGAAGGCCTCTCCTGGGCAGCGGGCGCAGCTCTCCTGTGGCAGGCAGGCTGCTGTCACCCCAGGCTTTGCCCAGGCTGTGCTCCGGGCTAGCAGAGCCACGGGTCCTGCCCACTTGCCCCAGCCCGGCACAGCGAAGCCTGGGCTGCGTCGCCGAGGGCAAGGGCTGGAGGAACATCCTACCCGTGGGGCACAAGCCAAAACCAAGCCCAAGCGGCACCCAGAGGCAAGCTGAGGTGGGCTCGGGGGGATGTGCAACCACACGCTGCGCCGAGCAAGGCGGCACGGGAGAGCCACCGCAGGGCGGGCACCCGTGAGCGCTGGCAGCCCTCACGTATCGCCATTCCCTGCCGCGCTGTGCAGCTTGGCACGCTGCACGGCCACCAGCCCGGCCCCTGAGAGACGCTGGCCAAAGAGGCAGGAGCTGGGACATGGCCCCGCGCCCATTTCTGCAGGCAGCTGTGCTTGATGCAGCCCCCATGTCTGGGGGGGGTGGGGCACAGCCTGCGCCTGGCATTTACACCCCTACCCTTGGCCACCACCCAGCACGCAGCCAGGAGCGGAGACAGACCTCCCTGCTGCCGACTCGGTGCTTACCAAGCACCCGCTGCCCTCCCACCACACGCACCCCCCGCCGTCCAAGGCGACCCCCAAAGCAGCACGCCGCGGGGCTGACGTTTGGCAAGAGACACCCGCAGCCAAAGCGCGATTCGTTAGCGCTCGATACAGACCATTAAAGCCTTGCCATGGGGCTCGCCGCCTTGGCGGCTCTGCCGGGAGCCAGCTGAGGCCGCACGTGCTTTGCGGGAAGCGAACCGCTGAGCCCGGCTCTGCCAAACCCTTGATCTGGAGCAGCGATGCTGGGCAGGCCCGCGGGGGTGGTGGCTGCGCCCCTTGCAGGGGCTGCTGCCCCCCGTCGCTCCCCCCCCAGCCGCCCCCACCCCTTCGCCCCCCCAGTGGGATGGGGCAGGCAGGGCTATGTTCACAGAAGTCCAGTTTAAGACATTTTTATTCCTCTGCATGTTACACTTAGTGTTTAAGAAAATACAGGATCCCTTTTGACATTCATACATTTTTACAAGGGAAAAATAGGTTTCTCTACGAGGGTGGTTATTAAGCGTTGGGTGTTCCCAGGCTGACTTCAGGGGGTCCTCGCCCCCCTTGGCCGCCAGGCCAACCCCCTCCCTTCCTGAGCATCACTGCCCCAGCGCCCAGAGCCCAGGCCTGCAGCAGAGCTCGTGTCATCGCCTCAAGCTAAAAAAAAAAAAAAAAAAAAGAAAAATACAGTGCCCAGTATTTCCAGTTCTACTTCCCAATAGCTCCTACACTGGATACTGCAAAGGAAGAGCTGAGGAGAGGGAGTGACCAGACTGCGCACATGAATATTTAAGAGACCCACGTTAGTGTGTGTGACTATCTGTAACAGGGAAACGGGTTAATCCCGTTCGCTAGAAACCTAGAGGAAATATAAATAAGGGTTCCCCACACTCGTGCATAGTCACAAACAGCTACTGGACACCAGGCTCGCGCTGCCTCCGAGCGCTGCCACGTGGCGAGGGAGGGCAGCGAGGCAGAGCTGCTATGAAGCTCAAGGCAAGAAATCCACACGCTTCACGAACAGAGCGCGCCTGCCGACGCGCAGCCCCTCGGCTCGGGGCCCCGGGGCAACGCCGCGGGAGAGGTGGCAAGCGGCAGCTTTCGCTTGGCAGGACACGTCTTTGCGCTGTGTCCGGGCCAAAGGCTTCCGAAGGGACCCACGCGGTCGTTACTTCTAGGCTGCCACTGTGTGCAAGAAATTCAGATTTAAACGTCACTATAGAAAGCAGACTGAAAAAAGCAGCTGTTAGGATAAGACCTCTATGACCCTAGGTGGGCTGCTACCCAGAGGGCAAGGCTGAGGGCCGGGAGGGAGCGAAAGGCTCACTAGACGAGGCGTTAGACAGCGAGCGAGCGAGCTACCTCCCCTTGGCAGGGCTGCAGCACATTGGCACTAGCAGCAGAGAACAAAACAGATGTTACGAAAGCTTCTTCCAAGCGCCAGCGGACTTCACTTGGTCACTGCGGGGAGAGAGACGCACATGGACAAGAAGTGATGCTCTAAGGCAAAGGCCTTTCGCTTCGGGACCTCGGGACACCAGCACAGCCAAACCCCCCCCGGCTGCCAAGTCCCTCGCAAGCTCGCTGCCCTTCCCGCTAACACCAGCTGCCTAAAGACCTCCCGCCACCACGCGCTCCGCCTTCCCCCGAGCACCAGGCCCCGGGGGCACCCCCTGCGCCTTCTGCCGCTGGCGTCTCTAAAGGGCCGGTGAACCCTGTCCCCACCTTAGGCCTCGCACGGAGGGATATAAGGTATGAGCTGTACTGGAAGGGAATGGGGAGAAAGTGTCAACAAGAGACGTCATCGATCCAAGTGGTTCAAACCCCAGTCCAAGCCGAGGGGCGGTTAGCTGGTACCGGGAGAGATTTCTGGGAACTCCTTATAAATCTCCAAGATGATCAGTTTGTCCATCTGGCACTGCTGGCCCTCCTCCTCCTCCCCCAGGATGCGCTGCAAGATGCCCTGCAGGTCGGAGAGGCGGTGCTGGTGCTGCAGATAGGGTGTGGAGCGGATGATGGCGTGCATCAGAGACAGATACTCCATCCTCAGCTGCCAAGTGGGAGGGGAGACAAAACACAGAGCACAATGAAAGATTTAAAGTGAGATAAACAAGCATGCCAGCCTCCATTACAGCATGAGCGCAGGAACAGCTGCTGCCGCACCACCAGCCAGGGAGCGACTCCAGAGGCACCTGCTTTTCCTTAAGGCTCATTAGTAGCTATGGAAAACTCTGCTTTTCCCACAGCAACCCGGTGCTGCTCTTCACCCGCTCTCAAACATGCACACATCCCCTGCCACCTGCAGCACCAAAACAGAGAGATCCCTCCTACTTGTGCTACTCAAAGAGGGTCCCTGTTCCCAAAGGTCCCTGGACAGAAGGGTGCAGACCACCAGAAGCCTGGCAGATCTTTCTTCAAACACACCTTTCTACTGCCGTGTGCCAGGCAGGATAAATCCCCCCTTCCTCCTCAGCCCCCAAGGTCGATTTGAGCACCCAGAAATGTCGTGCCCACCCCGGGACTCCGCTCTTGCCTGCACCAGCAGGCCCCACGGAGAGCCCGGAGAAACACCGTTGCTTTGGGACTGTGCTCCCTCCCCCAGTGCCTATGGGTTACTGTGAGCACCTTATCTCCCGGGGAGAGATCAGCAATCTGCCGCACCAGGATGTCTATCAGGACCATCATGTCCGTGTGGTAGAAGATGCTGGCCGTATCCTTGCTGGCAAAGATGTCCTGCAGAAACTTCAGCACTGAGTGCGGCGGCTGAGGCTGATGCTTGAAGATACAAACTGGATCATCTGGGGGAGGGAGGCAGAGAGACTGTGCTAAGCCACACGCTCCCTGTTGCCCACCTCCTCCATCTTCAGCTCACAGCCCTTCGTTAGACCCTACGGGCTTTGGCGAGGAGGCTGCCCCTGGCCTCGGCCAGCCGCTCCCTGCCTGTGGCTAGCTGTTGTGCCGGCAGACCTTAGCGCCTTGCACAAAGCTGTGTAATCAGGATGGCAGCTCCGCAGGGTACCAAGCAGAGACCAAACTCATTAGGATTAGCATTAATCATTGTTTATGTTTCACCTACCATCCCAGGTGAGAGCTCATTAGTACCTCGCCTCTTGGTGCCTCCCCTTTTTGTGCAAGAGCTACCACTCACTTTTTCCCTGGTTTATTAAATCTGGTCCAATGACCCCTCTGAAAAGCCCACCAGAGCCTGTACCAGAAACGAGCTTTCACTACAGAGACCAGGCTAGTACCGTCCCAGAAGCAAGAAAAGAAACATCTCCAAGTTTCAATGAGCCATCACATCCTACTCTCTTCCAAAACACGTCCCTGCAGACCCCAAGGGGGCTCTGGGACACTGCAACCCCCCAGCAGTTGTCAGGAAGGTGGGCAAAAGAGAAGCATCTTCATTAGGTTGTGGCCCCCCTCCTTCTGCCCCCAGCCTCTCGAAGTAAGGTGATCCCAGCAGGGAATCTGGCAGGGAAAGGGCTAAACAAAGGCTTTGGGAGGAGGCCAGACAGAAGAGCACGGAGATGCCGGCTGCCCTCAAGCTGATATAGTGAGGAGACAGTGATTTGCAACCCCAAAGAGAACTAAAGCCAGAGTAAGATGAGCTGCAAGCATCACAGGATAAGTTATTTACCAGCAAATCAACAGAATGAATCTCAGGCAGCAACGCCCCTGTGCTCCAGAAGGTATTAGAAAGCACAATAGTGGCATGTAGCACAGGCAGAAATACCTGGCACCGC